TTTTTTACGAAAGAAACAAATAAAACAAATGAAAATGTAATAAAATTTTGATGTTTTGCATCAAAATTGTTTTTTTTTTTTTCAAATGTTTTTTTTTTTGCCATTGAGAACACCGTATTTAATCTTGGTCTGTTTTGCCAAATCTTCGGCACTTTCAATTGGCGAATCCATTCGTTCGACCTAAAACCATTTTTTTTAAAAACAAAAATGTGAAAATTGTTCGAATCAGAAGAAAACTAAAAAATGAACATAGCAAAAACCGTGAGAAAGGTAGCCAAATTGGCCGTGTATGAGGATAGCATAATCAATGTGAAGAACCACCACATTCCAGCCACCATTCGTGTTGAAACCGCTCTGTAATTCAAATTGGTGTTCAAAAAAAAGAAAATGATATTTGAAACCAGTTACAAATAGATTTTAGCTCGTACTTTGGTAAAAAGTCGCATCCTTGCTGCATAAGTGAGCCGATGGCAAACCACATACAATTCATCGGTGTGAATTGAGTCTCAGCCGTGTCTGGATGTTGAGTGTTAGACCATTCGTAAGGCGTAAATCGAGCTAGAATGAACAGCAACACCGAAACACCCAAATAAGCTGTTGCCATATAAATCCAAACATCTGTAATGAGAGAAAAATGAAAATTCTGCATAAATTTCTTCCAAATGAAAGTTTTATCAAAAGAGTTGAATCAGAGCCTACCCAAAGAAAGTGGTGACAAAAATGAGAACAAATTCGGTGGTTGTTTAACTGGTTTTCGGCAAAGTACGGAAATGCCCAAATTCATAAACGGCATTGTAAAGTCAACAACGTGTTCTCGTTCGTATGTAATGGTCAAATCTTCAATAGCCAAATCTGCTCGCTGTTCCAGTAACTCTCGAACCATTCCATCCCATTCACTGGTTAGCTTATTCAAACTACCGTATCGTCCATTTGGTACTAAGCGGAATGTGAAATTGAAACCGCGTATCATCGATATCTCACGTATCAAATCATTGGCATAGCCTTCGAATTGATTATTGCCAGTCAGCTTAGCCGCAGAATCATTCCTCATCACATAGGGGTCGCTCTGGAAATCAAAACATTCGTTTTTTTTTTTTCAAATTATTTGAATGAAATCTGAATATTCCAACACAAATCTTCAGGGATAACCTTGTTAAACATACCAAAAGTGCCGTAACAACCAGTGTTTTATTCTTCAAGTTTTCCACCATATCTTGTACTTGTTCCTTGAACGATCTTGTGAAGTTAACCCCTTGAGTTGAATTCCAGTCACCAATTTTCCGTATTCCACTCGGGCTCAATTTGATTATCGAACTTAATTACATTCGTTTGGCCTTTCATTTCCACCTGAAACCCGTTAAAAAAAAAACAAATATGTGACAATTGTTCGAAAAATAAAAAAAAGGACATAGCAAAGACAGAGAAAATGATGGAAACGGGGACATGACAACGCAAATAGCAAAAATGGAAAAAACGTTTGGCACGTACGATTTTCATGTAGTTGATTAAACTGTATCCATGTGGCCAAGTATCTTGCCCATCGCATGAAAGTGGTTGGATATCAATTTGTTGGCTCGTGTCTAGATCATGCAGTGCTTTCGAAAAAAGATGCACCGCATCATAAATCAATGCTGTCTCCGCTTTTATTACAGTGTCATTTCGCTGTAGAAAAAATAAGGGTACAAAGTGGAGAAAGTTTGTTAACACAAAGCAAAACGGTGAATATGCGGTGTTGACGTTGATGTTCTTGGCAATCAAACATGACTTGGATAATGCGATATTAAGAGAATTGCTTGAAGAGCACAGCATATCAGATGTGGCCACCGAAGAGTTGATCTCCGTATACGAAAAGAATCAAACATCGTTGCGAATACAAAATTTGACGACGGGATTAAGTGTGCCGCACGTAACGAATGTCGAATGGAAACTGACTTGCGATGTGAAATCATCGCAAATCGATTCAACCACCGGTGCCCTGAATTTTCGCATCAATTTTGGGAGGTACAAAGGGCTGAGCGGTGAACGTGAAACAATTACCGAATTTGTGTGCAATGCCGAAGAACTACAGTTCCTTATTGGACGTCTCAAAGAGATTGAACGGCATTGCGAACGAGTTGGAATGGCAAAATGAGCATATATTCCAGCATTTTGTGGCTAACATCTAACGTATTATTGTGTAATATGCATAAGAAATCGGTCTTAGCATTATGATTCCATGTTAAGAAAAACATTCTTGCAATCAAACAAAACTCATAGCAAATAAATACACTCGAATATTCATTATGGGCAACCGTTTTTCCACAACACTTGACTCACTGTTTGAATGCCTGTTAAGTGGTGATTGTTTGATTTTTATTTCAATGGAACAACGACCATTTTTTGAAGTTTTCAATGCAATTCAACAAATGAAGTGATTGCTTTTCAAAAATACCTAATTTCTCCACAAGTACAATGA